CGCCATCTGAAAATTGTGTTTCCCTTCCCTCGAGCTGGGGGTTGGTGGGCGGGTTTGCCTTTGTGTCGCACAAGCGCCCCTCGAGGGACCGTACGGTCGGTGCAATCAAGCGGCCTGGGGGGCGTGCGTGGTGGTGGCAGCCGTTCGGATTGTTGCTGCCAGGGTTCGAGAAGGACGATTTAGTTTTTGGGTGGTTTGCGTGCGTTCTGCGGGTTTGCGACTCTGGCGATGGGTGCAAGTTCAGACGGCGTTTCCGACTTGCGGTCCCTGCGTGGATGTGCTCGAGCTTCACACCTTGTTCGTCGTATTGGTGGTGGTGTTGTTGCCGTGGTACTCGGTGCGCTGACAAGAACTGGGTTTGCTATTCTCGTATTGCGTTTGCTCCTGTTTTTTTTTTTTTTTTTCTTCCGTTGCTGCTGTCGTCCCGTCCGCCCGTTTGGCAATTCGCATCTGCTTTGATTCCCCTCGTGTCCGAAATAGGCGGTGGACCTCTTGTCTTCTTCTTCTTTTTTTCCCCTTCTGTCCCCTTGGCGCTGTCGGTCGGTCGGTGCGCCGCTGTTCTTCAGCTGCAGGGTCGGGAGCTGTGACGTAGGCCGCGAAACAGGTAGGATTGCCGGCGAGGGCCTCGTGGTAGCATCCGCGCGGCGTGTAAGCTGTACCTCAGGCGGGGGTGTGAGTGTTGCGTTTCGACAATGCTTTCCTCCGAACAACAGACGAAGGAGCGACACAAAAGTAAACCACGAAACAAATGCTCAGTCGAAAAGCGCTATATGCAACGCCTGCGCCTCCGTGAGGGAAGTGTCAGAGGGGGGAGAGATTGGAGGTCGAGTCGTGATATATCCGAAAGCAAGAAAAAGCACAACTAAACGGGGGTGTGTGGTAGCGCGGTGGGTGGGTGGATGGGTGTGCAGATAATTAGGTGAGCTGGACAGCGGGTGATGAGGGACAAGGTTGGTTGTAGATGAATGGAGATAGCGCATGCGGGTTGAGCAGACGCCGTCCAACAAGGCCTGGCCCAGCTTCGAACACCACCTACACTGCGGCGCCAGCTCAGGTCGGATGCAGATCGTGGACCATCTGCAGACCCCCAGCCAGAGCAGAGAGACGGCTGGACGTGGAATCAACAGACACCACGTCGTCTGCTCTTACTCGCAACCTACAAGCCCACCGGCACTGACCAGGTGGGCGTGTGCTCTGTCCCGCCGCCAGAGATAAGCTCCTCGCAAGGTCGCAACACAAGATACAGAGAACGGCTAAACTTGGGACGATCCCGCCGGGGTAGGAAACGAAAAGGAAAAGAAGGGAGCATGGGGGCATATACGGATGTAATGTCACTACCACCTCGATCAAAGGAGATAGACAAGCCACCACCACCACCACTCCCGAAAAGACAAGGGACCTGACACGCAAAACACAGAATAGGGAAATAGAGAGATAGAGAGAGATACGCACTGATAGACAGAAAGCCCGGTTGCTGCTGCTGCGTCAGAAAACGTGTCGATATAACTGCCACTCCACTGGGCGCACTCGAAGCAACAAAGAGGCCGTCAAGAGTAAACAAGCCCAGACGCTTCTCACTGCCGCAAGAGCTAGACTCGATAGACGCCGGAGACGGCGTGGGTGGTGCGGGCCAGCTTTCCTTTCAAATACGAGTCCCTTTTGGGTCGTCCGTCGGTCAGTCAAGTCGGCGGTGGATCCGGTCGTGTGTGTCTTCGTCCGTGCCGTTCCTTGTTCCTTGTTCCTCCTTCTTTTTGCGCGGGCGAGTAGCGGCCGACTAGTATGTAAGCGCACCCGGCCTGACTTTGTGGAGAGAGAGATCGAGGTGGATGAGATGGAGGATGGAATGGGATGGAGGAAAGGAGTCAGAAAGGCAGAATGGGCCTTTTCCCAAATGTCGAGGAGGGAACGATGAAAGGGGAAAAGATGGCAGCAAATGCCAGATAGATGAAGGCCAGCCAAACTAAAACGAAACTCGAGACGTTGACAGGTGCGCGGCAACAAGCCTGTCCCCTGGACCGTTCGTCGTGGGGGGGGAGGCAGATAGACGATGGGGCGCACCCGGGAAACGTGTGCGTGTGCGCGTGTGTGTCGTCTGGAGATGATGTCGGCGTCGGGGGGTGTGGCAGACCGCAGTTCCTGGGATGATGTGGACCGATCCCAAGAGGAGGATGCCGTCGAGTAATAACAACAAATGGCCCTCAGTGCTCCGTCAGTTGCCTCCTTCGGCGCAAGGAAACCTCGGATCGTGATCAGTCAGTCCCCCCTCCACTTTCTCTAGGTATCGTCTAATAAGCTACTGTGGACGGGTCTACAATTCTCTCGCCGCAGCCTCCATCTCCTCGGGTCCCGGTTCCTCACGAGCAGCAGCAGCAAATATCTCGACAAGATGGGTAGCAGAGGATGTTTTGGTATCCAACATCAACACACAATCTCCCATCAAAAGCCACCACCGCAGAAAAAAAGAAAAGACACACAAACTCTCTTCAGGAAAACACTCAGCGTCTGTCCCGTTGTCGTCAGGGGCCGGCTTGTTTGCTCGGCGTCCTGCCGCAGGGGTAAAAAAAAAAATCGCCAAAAAAGAAAACACAGCGTCCGAAAAACTGGGTTCAGAGTGTGACTGCGGCCCCGTAAGGCACCGTAAGGATGATGTAGGTCGTCCGGGGCCCAGAAATTAAGTCAGGGGTTTGTAGCAGAACGGGAACGGCAAAGCAATGAGAAAAGAAAAAAAAAGGCCAAAGGAGGATCCGTATCGTATGCGACAGTGACGTTTTCCGTTTGGCCCCGTTGCCGTGCTCCGGGTCTGCCTCCGTGGTGGTGTCGCGTGGTCGGGCGGAGATTGAACGGAGTTGTAAGAGTCAGGTAGAAAGGCTATTCAAATGAGAGAGACACACGGGAGATGCTGTTTCTCACGTTAGGTATCGCGGGGATGTTGAAGAGATTGGCTTCGTCGTCTTGCGCAGTAGCTAGCAGAAGGAAAAAGGTTGCGACTAATATCACGATTAGACAACACCCATCCTCGTTGTCGGCCTTAGTCTTGTCAGAAATCCCCCCCGAGATCACAAGACCGAGCTCCCGCAAATCCTGCGCTACCCCAGCCCACCACCACCACTAAAGAGAGAGAGACGCCATCCCAACTCACACTCCAGTCAGAGCGACAGACACCAAAACGCAAGCCAGGAGCCACGCCGCCCGCCCATTTACCCGTCAGAACCGCATTGGACCCCAGACGCCAACTCCATTCCTTACCTTACACAAACCCAAACCCACGGTGACGCTCCCAAGATTCATTCTAGCCCTCCCGCCTCCAGCCCGCCTCCACCAAGTGCAAGTGCAAGTCCACTGCGCTGGCTCTCACCGACCACCCTCCATCTCACGCTCGAACCGGCTCACTCCAAGACTCGGTCGCCAACAGACCCAAACGCATGCAACCACTCACACGCCATCCCCCAAAGCCAAGTCGGTTCGTCCGCGCAGTCCATCCCCATCTCGGCGGGCCTTGGCTTACACCGGAACAAAAGCTTTCGAGCAGAGAAGAACGCAGCCGGCAACGGCACAAGAAAGAAAGGGCACTACTCCCCACACACAAGAGACATGTGGCCGTGGGGCCGTCAGCGCCGTGTCTCACTCATCCTCCATCTCCATATCTCTCTCACACACACACTGGATCTATCATCATCATCAGCCATCAGTGTCGTCCAACCATGCGGCGTCTCTGGACCAGAAAACTCCCCGTCTCACCTTTCTCCGCAGAACCCGGCTCCTCCATCTCGCCCGAGCTTCACGCGACACACCAAGGCCCGGCTCTTCTTGCCCATCCTAGCGCCGCCTGTCTATATGTTGTAGTCTATAGCTGAAGATGCCGACAAAAGTGACGACGCCAATCCCGTCCGGATATCCAGTTCCCCAAAATTCCTAATCGTCTAGTTAGTAGCTACATCGTTAGTGCCCGTCCGTCCCATCCAATGTGCATCAAAACCCACATCTCGACCCGAACGAAGAAGAAAATAAAAACCGCTATCCAACATGAAAGTGGATGGAAAAGTTCCAATAGAACCCCCAAACCATCGTCATAACGCAGTAACCTCCGCGAAACTCGGTGTTCCGGTCATCAAAATCCCCACCGCTTAAACCGGGGCGCGCAAAGGGAAACCCTCCCTCCCCAATTACCTTAAGCTTGAATCGTCTCGCGCTCGCTCGGCCCTCGTGCCTCCACCGAGAGGTGAAAAATATCCCGAGAGCTTTCTCACCTCACACCGCTGCGCCGGGTTTCCCGTGAAGAAGAGCCCTTTGAGTAATTCCAGGTGACGATGAATCTCGATGCGGATCGTCAGTCAGTGCCCAGAGTAAACACCAGCAAAACAAAATGGCAAGCAAAAAAAGCCAACACCGCCGCCTGGCCCGAACCACCCTCGCTGGCGCCAGCCAACACGACGTCGCAGCCGTACCGCCGCGTGGCTTCTGCGCCTCCCCTCTCCACGACGACGCCGCAGCCCCCAAGAAACACAACCCAATAAGCGCCCAAGAAGCAGATGAAGAGCCACAGAACAGTGGCGCACCATTCAGCGCGGTGAACTCACTCCCTCCCCGGGCCGTCTTCGTTCGGAGCACACGGCACTTTACGATGCCCCCCTCCAACCGACCCTCCCAAGAAACCATCATCTCAGAAAAACAAGTTTTTGAGCAAACCCCATCTTCCCCAACGCGGATTCCAGACCGGTCTTCAGGAGACCCATTGGCTCTAACCGAAAAGCCGCCGGCGGCCCTTTTCTGCTGCTCCAATCACGACCAGATATCCCTGCCGGTCCCAATTACCAACATCTCGATTCGCCAGCAGCCAAGCGGCGTTGTTACTTATTAGCCATGTGTCTTCGGCAACGGCACGCTCCTCAAGCATTGGCACCTCCTGTCAAACCACAAATCTCCATGAGCCCTTCGCTAAACCTCTCGCGTCTTCCTAATCAGGCCAGCGCGTTTTGAAGCAAACCCCAAACAGACGCAAAATGACGACATGCGCCGCCGCCGGATGTATTCTCGTCGGACGTGCTCCGGGGCTAGCAGGCCGGGACAAGCGCTCTATCGCCAACCTCGCCGTATTGTCGCCAGTGATAGCTACCTTGGCCATCATCACATTCTACACCGCTGGCATTCTGTGCAAAAAAGGGCCGCGTCTAGTCGCAGTCTGTGCCCTCGGCGCCTCTCTTGGTGACTGCTGATCCTTCTTTCCCTATGCGCAAGCTTCATCCTTTAGAAGATCCAAACCACTTGGGAAGTGCTGCTGTCTTGATCCCGGGCACGAGTGGATCGCAAATCTCTCGGATCCGAGTCGTGTCGAACCCAGCAACCAGCCCGCCGTGGCTGCGATTTTAAAGTTGATGACATCTTCCTGTTCAAGCTTTTTGAGTTAAATTCCCCATTCCCCATGTGTTCATGTCATTCGGGAAAACTGACTCGCCAACCGGAACCGCGAAGTGCAAGCCTAACCGCAGGAATGCGTTCATCTCGCCTCCAGTCTTTTCCCGTAGACTTCTGCCACCGGTTTTATCGCGTGGCCGTCAACGGCGGAAGGCAGGCTGTAGGACCAGTAAATACACACCGACAGCCACGTCGCGCAAAAGCCCGTGCTCGCAGATAATCCAGCCTCGAACAAGCCACCCAGAGATAAGCGACGAGATTCACGGCTCCTCGCTTGGGGTTGGGGGCTGGACCCAAGCTGGAGACGAACCTGGGTGAACACCTGCAGGATCGCACGGGAAATCAGCCACACCAAACCCAGACCCCGGTGTGGGCTCTGTGATGACACTGTGGTTGCGTTGCTCCAGCCAATATCACACTCATCCCGCGCGCTGGCAAAAACAAAAGCGATCCAGAAGGGACCCTTGGCCAGTGTCTCATCTCGGCGTTGATAACGTTTTTCGCTGCACGACGTGAGCGGCGAGCTTCATTTCCCGTACGCCGTCTGGTCACAATTGATAATCTCTCACCACGCGCCAGTGCGGCAGCGCGGGGGAAATCCACTTCATGTCTTTCCGAGATGAGGCTTGACGCGTTGTGTGGCGATAAGCAGCCGCCGAGAAAAAGATTCGTAGAATTTCCTTTTTTTGCATCTCACATGCATGTGTCGGCGCATTGTCGAGCGTGCCGATAGCTGCAGGCGTGCAATTTCCAACGGTGCCGCATGGCGTTCTTGCTCATGCTGTCTCAAATGAGGGTGACATTGTAGATAAGATACTGCAAGGCGCGCGGCGGGCGTCTTTCTCTTTGTGCGACTCGAGAATAGCTTGCTTTTGCAAGCTTATCCGCTGCATATTGAGGCCCCAAAGGTCGCCAATTTCTTGAAGCTGCGTTAAAGCTTACCTCATATCCCGAGAGTCAATAGACGATGTTCGCCAGGATGCTTATCTTTAGGGAATGCTGCTGTTGCAATCCGTGTCGTCCGCAGCCCTGTCCAGTGAAACCTCGGGTGGTAGCCTCGTATGGTGACAATCAACATATTGTCCGAATGCGCCCTGGTTTGGTAGCAGCCGATGCTGGCTCAGAACATCAACTTCCATTCAACAACATGCAAGCTGCATGAGATCAAGTATATGCCCCAGGTCTCGTCAGTTGATGAGGCTGGCTTCACAAACATCTGTGGTATTTGCTCGTCTCCTTGCTCAACCCCGGGGCCATGCCAGGAGGGATAGGTTGAAGTTGAATGCCACAGTGACGAAAATGTTGCCGTCAACTCTCAGAAGGACGCAAAACCAGCTGTTCCATGCTCAACAAAGGGGTTTCCTATCCCCCGTGGAACAGGCCGTATTCATCTCGAGTTTGTGTCCCCGTCATCTTGCTCAGCCTATGTCCGGTCAAAAGGGGGTGCGAGGCACGACATCTCATCCACAGTCGTGCCTCGTAGCACGCCGTGGCGGGAAAAGCCCGCGCTGCTGTCAACGTTGCCTCGAAGGAGACAACGCACTGAGGAGCCAGGTTGGACACAAGGTTGAGTTGTACCGCCAGACATGTAACCTGATGAGCTGTCAACGCTTCTGTGCGACAATGTGTAACGACCCCTCTTCATGAATATCCATTTCCATGGCACTGACGGTGGCATTCAAGAGTCGTCCTCCATTGACGTCCGGCTTAGGCCCCTGGCAAGAGCGGAAGGTTGGCCCTCTCATAATGGTATGAAGAAGTCGTGTTGAAGATGGCGAAATCGTCAGGTTACGGTCTCACAACAGCAAGATGGTCAAACCAGATGTACTTCTGAAGCCCACTTGTATGCTGTAACCGGGTAGACAAGCCTTTTTAGACATAATCGACAACCCAAACTTCGCTGGATTTCCAGAGTCCACTAGACGTGGCACCGCGTGAATGTCGCAATGATGGTCGCGATGCTTGTCACCATATCAAAGAGACATATTTTTGACATCCCACAGGCTAGTTTTGAGAGACTTCCTGCAGGCATTTGTTGAGTTCTGTTATTTTGTGTTGTTGTGTTCATCGGCCTCGCCACAAAGACCACTGCCCACTCAGTAAACGTCAATGTCTGCCATCAATCAACAGCAAACGAATCTGCTGTTGGCAGCAACGAAGATGGAACCGATGTTCACCATCGAGCTTGAGACAAGTCGAGAATGGTATCACGACCTTCAAAGGTATCCCTTGCAAACTCCGCGGACATCATCCAGTCGACTCTCGATGACGCCAACGCGAGGATGAAGTCGGCTTTTCGGATGCGACATCAGGATCTTCGTGCCGTCTGAACTTTTCAACGCCACCTACGTGTGCCTCGCCTGTGGACAACAGATAGTAGATCTCTTTGTTTTGAGAGATGGTCAAAGGGTCCTGGGGCGAGTGGTTTCAAATACGAGATCAGCGGTACAGTGTCCGCGATTGCCACCGCGTTTGGTTGTCTTTAGAAAGGATCTCCAAGACAAGAGTTTCGTTCATCAGCAATCAGATCTGGGGCCAAGATCAACAGTGCCACCCTGCGAATATGTCAAGCGACGGGCGAGGGGTCCGCCGGATAAACGATTGAAGCCGACTGAGCCCGGCGAGGAGCGGACGAAAGTGGAGCTAGAAACGCGGGGAAGGCTCGCTCATCCCTGCTTCGCCGGCCGGCTGCGGGTGTGCCCGGCAGGGCATCCCGCTAATTTCTTGCGGCACTATTTCAGGGCTTTCGGGCCCAGGCAGGGACGGTTGGCCCCGGACGGTGCGAGCAGTTCCCGGCAAGTGATTTGAGGGCGAGACAGGCACCGAGACGGCTGGCAGCACCACCCCGCCCGGTGAAAACCAGTTCTAAGTGGTCTCAACAAAAAGTCCTGCTGAGCGGTGTGTGTCAGATGCATCTAGGGCGGTTTAGCGGCCGCAGGTCAATCAATCACCGACCAATGATAATGGCCCGTAGTTACTGATTATCACGAGAACTGCTCGCGCTGCAGGTGGCTTGCAGACGAGGGGTAGCATCGCAGGGAGCGCGCGTGGTAGGAAAAAGCAGAAACTGGGCACGTGTGCGGTTGTGCTGTCGTGGGTGCTCGGACGCAAATACCAAGGGAGCTGACAGATGCTGGAGACGGTGAGGTTGTCGTGAAGTCTCACCGACCAAGCTGGGCGGGGTTTGCTGCTTGGCTAAGTTAAGCTGGAAGTGAGTTCGAAGCTTAAACAGTTCCCCGGCTCATGGTTTCCTGCAGAACGACGGGGCGACGGGGCAAATGCAGAGGCAGCTGGAGCTTGAATGCGTTGTTTGGTAATGTCGGAGTCATGTTTAATCAAACGTGTTTTAGGGCGGCACAGAGCGGTGGTTTGATGCCGGTATCGCTGAGCTGAAGCGCCGTCTGGAAGTCTCACTTCTCTCTAAAGTAAACTCGCTATAGAAGTAAGGGACATGTCTTTCGACGGCCGTCAAGCTTTGGGCAAAGCGTGGCGTGCCGTACTTGAATGATAAGACGCGGAAGTAAAGGGCGTCAGTGATGTGGGGGTTCGGCGGGGGTCGGTGATCGTCGGTGAGCTTGATTTGGGATCTGACAATGGCGCACTTTTTGGTGATTGATCCTGGTGTGGCGTATCAATACCGTGCCGACCGAGCAAGGGAGATGACTGGATGACCCCCGTGCGCCGTGCGGGAAACGGACAGCAGGAACGTGATGTGACGCGGGGGATATCGCGGTTGCCCGGCTCCCACGGTCAACTTCTCAAGCGACGGAGTGGTCTTGCTTCTGTGGAATGTGGAATGTTTCTCGTCTTTGCTTGATGTGTTGGCAAGGCTGGGGATTTGGGGCCACCCGTCCAGTCAATGAACGGTTTCGACGCACTTCCCAGTTGGTTCAACTGACTGATCCCAAAGCGGCAGTCATCCGATCTTTGCAATGCCCAAGAAAACATGGCGTCAGTTGAGGTGTCAAGTAGCGTCAGATAGCGCGGCGCATGAACGAGCGAAGCACTCCGGGAGACTGCCCCGGACGGAAGTGTCCAAGGCAAGAACGAACGCAAGCTGGCCCGGGTTTGCTGCGTTGTTGGCCTTGGAAGTTGGAAGTGCTGTTAGAGGTCAATTCAAGTTTTGTCGGCCGGGGGCTCGTAAAATAATTTCGGGGCTTGACTCGTAAGTACCAGCACAGCCACACCGAAGCCTCGCTGCTCATCTTAGCGATACGGTTTCCTGAAATTCGACAGAAATTACGACCCAAGAATGCTGATTCCTGGGGAAGCAACATTCCCGAAGAGTCCAGCAATCTGGGGACGGACAAGCGGCCTTCTGGCCTGGGTGCCTGGAAAGGAAGTTTTGGCGGCCATGGCGGGAATCCGGGCAGCATGTCAGTTGGCAGTCCGGGGACTTTAGCGTCGGGGCAGGGGTGGGCAATCGGTGAAGAGAATCAGGCAAAGTCGAAGAGGCAGCTGGCCTCTGGCCCTCTGCTGATATGCCTTGTGACAGAGCTCTCGAATCCATCGGTTGGGGTGGAAGGTTGGCCAGCAGAGTTCGGGTGGCAGAGGCATTAGCGGAGTGCAGGGTGGTCGAAGGCACCGCTGGGGAGGGACGTGGTGCGGCCGGCATGATATGGAGACGCTTCCGGGGCGAACAGACGCCATTTCCGTCAGGTGCTGGCAGGTTGTTGTCTCTAGAGGCTCCTCTTCTCTCCATCTCCATGCATAACGTGAGCAGTAGCGGTGGTCGAGATTGAAGCTCCAGTCCGTTGAGGTCGAGGCTGTGAGACAGAGGCGACGGCAGGCGCTACTTAGC